GGCTGCCAGCTCAACCTGGCGGAGGATGTGATGAAGCTGCAGCACCTGCTGGACGCAAATATGCTGGCGCACAGGTGGGGGTGGGGTGGGAGGTGGGGTGGGGGCATGGTGGGGGCAAGGTGTTGTAGTGGGGCAGTGGCTGCGCTGGCTCGCAAGTGTATGTGTGTGGGGGTGGGGGGTGGGGGGTGGAGGGTGATGGGAGGCAGGTGTGTGTCCGTGATGTGCCTGATATGCCCACGCTGTGCCTGCTGTGCCCCACACTGTGCCTGCTGTTCCCGCAGGGACGACGTGGAGGACCTGTGCACGGCCGCCGTGAAGGAGGAGCAGATCGAGGTGGGTGGGCGCTGTAGGTTGTATATGTTTTTGATGTTTTGGACTGGTGTCTGCCGCTCTTGGCTGCCGGTGCGGCCGCGCCTGCCCCCGGCCACACCTGCATCGCCACACCATGCTGCCCTTGCGTTTCCCGAGCTCCGGCATGCTCTCTGCTCTTTCTTTGGCCACGTGCAGGTCAAGCTGGCGTCGGTGGCGCAGCAGTGGGCGCAGGAGGTCTTCACCTTTGCCGAGCACAAGCAGCGCGGGCCGGTGGTGCTCAAGGTGTGCGCGGGCTTGCTGTTTTGTGTGCCGCGGATCCAGGCGTAGGGGAGGCCGGGTGCTTTACTTTGGTTGGATGGGGCCCGGAGGGGGATCGCTTGGAGGCGGTGGCGGCAGGGACGCTGGGGAGGGGAGCAGGCACCTGCTGGCGGGCATCGCCCCACGAGGCCCTGGCCCCTGCCCTCCTTTTGCACCCGTGTTTTCTTTTCCACAAGAAGTACGAATAGTATGTGTCATCCCTGTCTCGCTCCAACCGCAGCCCTCCGACACCTCTGAGCTTCTGGAGCGGCTGGAGGACTCGCTGATGGTGCTGGGCGGCATGGCCACCAACCGCTACTCGGCGCCCTTCCGCCAGGAGGTGCAGGCCTGGATCAGGTGTGCCGGTACGCCGGTACCGCCTCCTTCCCTCTTTCCCCCTGCCTGGCACCGCATGCCAGGGTGCTGCAGGAGTGGGCGTGGCGTGCGGCCTGCTGGCCTTGCGATTGATCCTCAGGCGCTGCTGCCAGCGGCAGGCACTGGCCCGCCCGCTGACCAGGGTCCCACCCACTCATCTGCTCGCCTGCTGAGCACCCCCAACACCCGCCGCCAATGCCGGCCTGTATTACACCGATTGTTCGCCACAACCCGCCACCCCACGCCCCAAGTGGTCCCCACCCTACCCTCCAACGCTGGCCTGCCCCCCTGCAGCAAGCTGTCCACCGTGAGCGAGACCCTGGAGGGGTGGCTGATGGTGCAGAACATGTGGATGTACATGGAGGCGGTGTTCTCTGGGGGGGACATCGTGAAGCAGCTGCCGCAGGTGGGCTGCAGGCTCAAGGCGCTTGCTTGCTTGCCTGCGCGTGTGGGCTGCCAGCCTGGTTCGCCCAGCAAGCACGAGCTCGCAGCACAGGCTCCGCGTGGGAAGGGGACAGGGGGGCCGGTGTGGAGGAGGGGCAGGCTGGGCGCGTTGCCGTCTGGCGCACGCGCCGCAGCCTGCCCCTGCTGCTGTGTTGCCTGCTGGCAGCCAGGCTGGCGGGCGCTGCAGCACTGCGGCCGCACAGCGCCCATCTCCCTCCTCTCGTCTCTTTTTCTCCACACCCGCAGGAGGCCAAGCGCTTCCAGAACATCGACAAGAATTTCATGAAGGCGAGCGCCGGGCGCTGGGGGTGGCTGGCTGGCTGGCTGGCCGGCTGGCCGGCTGGCCGGGGGCCTGGCTTGCCTCGCGCACCACTCCCCCACCCACCCACGCTCCAAATCGCCCACCCGCAAGTGCCCACACTCACCTCCTCCTTTCTCACCCCTCACACTCCCGCCAATCCCCCCGCCAATCCCCACCTCCCCCCCACCCACCCACTCTCCCTGCAGGTGGTGGCGCACGCGGGCGAGACGCTGACGGTGGTGGACACGCTTGTGTCCACCTACC